TAAGATAGGGAGTGATAGATTATTCAGCTTGAAATTGCAAACTCATTTGCCCAATATCATAATCAATTGCTGACAGCAGGTTTTTCCCCCCGGAAACTCATTTGTGAAATGTATTTGGTAGTCTAGTCACTGAGCATTAACTCAAACACCGTGACTTGCCATTAGTCTTTGTAACTTTTCTTTAGTCTATGTCTTGGTTTGCTCTGTTATCACTTCTATCAATTTCAGAGTCACCAAAAGAAGTGAAGTTATACAGTATGGGTACCTTTTACCACAGTATTATTGCTATTAATAATAATAATAGCCTTTCCCACATGCTCTTGGCACAGCTCTCCATAGATTTCTTGTATTTCCACACTTCTCAAAAGCAGAGACATTGACTCCTTGGTTCCGGATTATCTTTTCAAAGATATCTGTTAGCGAATAGCATTGGAAGATAGAGATAGTGTCTCCCTCTGGGCAAACGGCAGGCGTGCTGACTGCCCATTATAAAATATTTGGTTTACCCTAAGCTCAGGATTCCCCTCCTGCATGTGCAGGTATCGTCTTTGCGTCACTCCGTGGGAACTGAGCGCAGGGAACTGGGCAATGCTGGTACTCTGGGTATTGCTATTCATGTGAGTCAGAAAGTCCTTCATCCTCTGCCTCTGAGCTGGAGTCTTGTGTCATCTGCCAGCATTTATGAAAGGGCAGTAGGCAAACTTAGCTTACAAGTAGGGTAAACTCTCAAACCTTTCACAGTTCTTGGCATATAATCCAGGAACTGTTAAAAAAATATATATGTACACATACACACAAATATGTATATATAATATATGTATTTGTTAAAAATGTATATGCATAATACATGTATTTGTTAAAATATATATATGTATATATGTGTGTGTGTATATCCTCTCATAACAACCTTATGAGGTGGGCATTAATATCATCCTCATTTTACTGATGAGGAAACTGAGGCACAGATTCAGGATCCCAGTAGGCAGTGGCTCTGGGTTTGAACCAGGCAGCATGGGTCTGGCATCTGCCCTCCAGTATCTGTGTCTCTTTGCTTTCCTCTCTGGAGTGGAGGACCCCAGGCCTTGCCTTAGCTCCCAAACATCACTTGGAAAAGGAAGTGCTGCTCGGCACCTTTCCAAGAACAGACTGACCGGTTGTTGGTGTTCATGCTGCTCCTTCTAAAGTTCCAGGAGGTTCCTGTGCTCTCCCCTCACAAGCATTTATAGAGCACCGGCATGTGCCGTTCCAGGTGCTCCAGGAGAGGAGAAAAGAAAACAGTCCGGTCGCTGCTTGTGGGGTAGTCCATACTTTTGGCGCCCAGGGCACTGGGGGTGGGGATTGATCCAGGCTCGGGGTGGGGCTGGGGTCCTCGTTCTCTCTGCACTTTCCAGTGGACAATGCATCTCGGGTGTCCTGCCCGGAGGCCATCTTCTTCCTCCTGCTCTACTCCACTCTTCACAGGGCAACTGCTCCTTACCTTCTGCTTTCCAACACCACGATTAATAATAATAGTAAAAAACAAGGATACTGCAGTCATTCAACAGACATGCATCATGTGCTCACTTTATCCCTGGTGGCAGTGAACAGAGCTAAATCCCTGCCCTCTGGGAGCTGACATCTAGCTGGGGAGACAAACCATCAGCAGGTGGACAAATCTCTAATCCCAGGTATGGAGAAGTTTGATGAGGAAAGCAAAGAGGAGCGAGGGGACAGCGAGTGACGGCGGGGGTGCTATGTGAGAGAGTGGTGACGGGGGGAGGGGATCTCTGCAGAGATGACATTTGAGGCAAGACCTTAGTGATCATTCACTCCTGCGCGACAGATACTTGCTGAGTGCCAACCAGATGCCAGGCCCCGTTGTAGGCTCTGAGGATACTGCAGTGAGCAAGACGAGCGTTCTACTGAGGACAGAGAGGCAGTCGACAAACAGATCAATACGACCTGGAACCTGGCCATGGGGGAAAGGGCTACGGAGTGAAGTAAAGTGGGAAGGGAGGTAGGGGGCTCTGGGGCAGGGACAAGGGTGTTGCAAGCTGAAACTGGGGAGACCAAGGAAGTCTCACCAAAAAGGTGACATCGGAGCAAAGTCCTGATGGAGGGGAGGGAGTGAGCCTTGAGGGCGACTGGGCCAGAGTGTTGCAGGTGGAAGGGACAGGAGGGCGAAGGCGAAGGCTCGGAGGTAGGAGCGAGCCTGCCGTGCCTGATGCGCAGCCCCGAGCCCCGTGGCGGCAGCAGAGAGAACCGAGGGAGAGTAAGGACCGGGTCACGGTCAAGGATGTTGGCTTTCACTCCTCGGGAGATGGGAAGCAATGAGAGCTTCTGAACAGAGACGTGCCATCCTCTGACTTATAAAATAACAATAATTACAGTCCTCAGGATAGCTGCCGTTTATTCGTGCTTCTGCCCTGGTCACTGTGGGTGCCATCTCAGGCAATCCTTGCAGCCACCTTCCCAGGTGGGCAGCACCATCGTTCCCATCATACAGACGAGCTAACTGAGGCAAGAGGTAACGGAGGCACTGTCCCCAAAGTCGCACAATTGCTCCCCGCAGGATTCCTGTTCTCTCCTCCCAGCTGGGCCCTTCACACAGCTCAGCGACCCTTTGGCCTGTTGGCTGTCATCTTTCCCTCACTCCTCCACCCTCACGCCTCTTTCCAGCTCAAGGGCCCAGCCCTACACTTATAAACGCATCTGCACCCTGGACCTTCGGCATCCAGGCACCCCTTCTTTCTTTGAGAACTCACCTGCCTGCACAGTCCGGGGGCAGCGCCACAAGGCCGCCCAGCTGCAGCCATGTGTGTGTGGCCCTGTGTGTCTAGGCTGGCACAATGCAAGGCCGGGGGAGGGCTGAGTGCCTCACTAGGTCCTGCCCTATCGGTCTCCTTTTCTCACAGCCGCCTTCTGCCTTGCCTCCCCTTCAGCAGTCTGGCTTCCTCCTTCCTTGCACCACTGGAACGGCCTCACTGGTCCTGCGCTGAGCTGCTAGTGTCCTGGCCTCAGGATGCAGTCCCACTGTCTCCATCTGGACTGCTCCGAGGCTGGGGACACCGGGGATGGCCACCTCCCTGGACTCCTCCCCACTCACAGACATTCAAAATTGTACTTCCAGCCTCAATGTAGCTCCTAAATTTTAGTCTTTCCAACTGTCTACGTGACTTTCCACCTGAATGTCCCCCAGACGCCTGGACTCTCACGACCCAGCTTGAGTCGACGTAACCACCTTCGCCCACCTCCTCAAGATGGCCCCGGCCCGCCCTCTGCCTTCCCTCTTCTTTGCACCCCTCCCGATCAGCTGTCCAGTCCTGTACGTTCTACCTGCCTCCCAGTCTACCACCGCCCTTCCCATGCTCACCACCAAGGTCCTGCTGGCTGACTCTCTCAGTCACTCCCTCTAGCCTGGCCCATCACGATGGCCCACATGCAAGCCTTCTCATCTCTTGCTCCGTGATTCTCCTAAAGAGCCCCTGGGAAGCTTCTGGAAAGTGCAGATGCTCAGGCCCCACCCCCTGAGAGTCTGATTCATTCTGGACTCAGGTAGGATTCGGGCATCTGCATTCTTTCTTAATAAGCTCCCCAGGTGCTCCTGATAAGGGGGTCTCCGTCCACTCTGTAAGAAAGGGTATTCCTTCGCCTCTCATTCCAGTCCGTTCTCCACATGATTATCACTGTAACTGTTACTACCCGACAGTTTGTGGACACGTATCCTGTCTCAAGACTGTGCTGAACCCTCCATACACATATGTCCCACGAACCAACAACTCTTTAACTACTATTATTAGCCCCATTTTACCTTTGAGAAAACCGAGGCACAGAGAGCTAAGTTAAGTCCCCTAAGGGCACAGTCTCTCTGGCCCAAAGCCAAATTTGCAATATTTCATTTGACCACCTCCTCTGTTCCCCACGGTCCAGTTGTACTGAGTGACTTTAGTTCTCCAAATGCACCTTGCTGCTTTTTGCCTCTGAGCCTTCGTTCATGCTGTTCCTCTCTTCAAAGCGCCATCTGTATTCATTTTCTACCGCTAACAAATTACCACAATGTAAGCAGCTGGGGCACAGCAAGGCTGGCTTTCTGCTGGGGTTCCCACAAAGCTAAAATCAAGGTCTTAGCTGGGGCTGGGTTCTCATCTGGAGTTCAGGGTTCTCTTCCAAGCTCACTGGTTGTTGGCAGGATTCAGTTTCACCTCTTCCTTTGCTAGCTCTCAGCCAGGGATTGCTCTCAGCTCCTAAAGGCTGCCCACGTTCTTTGCCACGTGGCCCCCTCCATTTAAAGCTAGCAAAGGAGAATCTCACCCATGATAAATCCTTTCCATGTTTTAAATCTCTTCTGCCGGAAAAGCCTGGTCTCTTTTTTATTTTTTTTAAACATTTTATTTTTTCCTTTTTCTCCCCAAAGCCCCCCAGTACATAGTTGTGTATTCTTCGTTGTGGGTTCTTCTAGTTGTGGCATGTGAGACGCTGCCTCAGCATGGTCTGATGAGCAGTGCCATGTCCACGCCCAGGATTCGAACTAACGAAACACTGGGCCGCCTGCAGCGGAGCGCGCGAACTTAACCACTCGGCCACGGGGCCAGCCCCAAAGCCTGGTCTCTTTTAAAAGCTCACCTGATTAGGTCAGGCCCACCAAGGATAATAGCCAGATTTTTAGGTCAACTGATTTGGGATCTTAATTGCATTTGCCAAACCTCTTACAGCTGGACCTAAATTAGCATTTGATTGAAAACTGAGAGCAGGTGTGTACACTGGAGGCCGTGAATCTTTGGGGTCATCTTAGAATACTGTCTAACATATACCATCTCAACTTCAAAACTTAGCTCAAGTATTGCCACCTGCCTCAGTGCCTCTAGGCATAGTTAGGTCCACCCCTGGTACCTATACACCCCTGTACCAGGGGTGTATAGCATCCAACATACACTCTTCGTACGTATCCAATGGAGTATAATTTTTTTTTTTTACTGCTCCATTTCTCCCCAGCTGAGCTGTGAGTCTCTTGAGGGCGGGAACCAAGGCTTGGCCGTCTTTGTAGCTGCAGCCCCTGGAACAGTAGCCAGCTCAAGACATATTTGCTGCCTGAGAGTGAGCGATGCGCCCGAGCCAGCTGTGCCGAGAAGAGCATTTTAACTACAGCGGCCTACACTGCATGAAAAGGGCGGCTGACGGGGAGACAGCGGCGCCCGCGCTTCCGAGACGAGGGCAGGCAAGTCCGGCGTCCGACGCCCCAGAGAGAACCAGCCCCGCCGCGACGCTGAGGCGGACGTGCCGCTAGGTGTCACTCCCGATTCAATAAAGAGAGACGCGGGTCCTTAGAAAGCTGGTTACACCTTTCTTGTGAAGGGAGCTGCTTAGACGGCTCCCAACCATCCTTTCCGTCTGGTTCCACCCTCCTGTTCTTCAGTTCCCTCCACTGACACAGTCTGGGTCTATAAAAGGACAACAGAAACAGGAGCTACGAGAGTTGGGGGCCACCTGGCCAACTAATTCAGCCTCCCGATTTTGTAGACGCGCAACCGAGGTTGGGGAGGGGGGTCGGGAGGTGGGGACAGAGCCCGGCTTCGGCCCCCGCGTGGGTCCGCGCGCCCCTGCCACCTTCGGGGTCCCGACTCTCGGCCTAAAGGTGTCGGGACGGTCCCGGAGGTCTACACCGCGGTCAGCCCCCCAGGGCCAGTTCCAGGCGCTCAGGCCGCGCGCAGCGTCTCTTCCTGCGCGGAGATCCAACCCAAGGGCATCCTCGCCCTGCGCTCCAAAACCCGGGAAGGTGAGTGTGACGAGGTCGAGAGGCTCCTGCGGGTCCGTCAGGACCTGCCATTTCTGATCGTCTCAAGCAGTCGCTTCTTTATTTGCGCTTTAGGGATGGGAAGCGGGGGCAGCGCCCCGGGGCCCCTAATCAGTATCTGCAATTAACCGCAGTCCTTCCCCTTGAGCCGGGGAATGTTCGGGGCTGTAAGGGCAGGGCTCGGAAAACACTCGTGAGGAACACCTCCTCGGCGGGAGTTTGAGTCAGTTTTTCTTCCCCTCCACGTTTTCCCCGGGAAGAAATTGATGCCTCCTCTGGAGGTTCGGGACAGACGGAGGACCGAAGCGCGCGCGTGCCGACGCGCTTTCCGTCACCCCCGGCAGAGGGCGCCCTCCCCCCGCGCCCGCTCCCCGCTGGGCAAATCCGCTTGCCGCCACCCTCCAGCTCCTGGCCCTGTCTGGTCCAGGCTAGGCCCCCAACCACAGGTGCCTGCGGCCCGATCCTGGGGAGAGTTTCAAAGTCACTTCTGTCTGACCTTGGGCACAGCCTTTGAAGGTCCTGTTCTCTTTGCTTGCAGCAGAAAAAATTTATTTTTTAAAGCGAATATTGAAATGCATTTGCATTTCCTGGAGCACTGGGTAACAGAGTTTACCTGGCGGGGTGGGAATGGAGCTAGGTCAGGATTCAGACTCCTGCCAGGGCTCGTTCACAAAGCGGATAATCCTATTTAGCAATACAATAACTTCCTTTCACGCTTGCAAAGGGGCTTTCCCATGTAAAACTTGACCCATTGTCTTTGTTAATCTCTTTCTTCTTTGCATGAAAAGGTTGACTCATTCATTTATTTTTCAACCAGTATTTTATTGAGCACCTTCTGTCCTCCAGGTACCAGAAGGAAGAAGGCGAACTCGGTTCCTGATTTTCGTGGAGCTAATGCTCTGGTAGGGAGCACACATTGAATAAATAATTGCGGGAAACATTAATTTGTTCTAAATGAGATATATGCTGCAAAGGACAACAGAGGCTGCTGGGAGAGGGTGTCAGCAGGGAACCAGCTGAAGTCGTCAACTGAATCTTCGCCACAACTTTGCTGCATGTCCACCCTGATGCTATCTTCTCTCCTCTTGCTGCTGCAAACCGATACAAGTCATAGCCCCAAGGAACAGATGAGTCAGTGCTTGCAAGGCTGCACGTCCCCAGGTGAGGTAAGCAGAGTCAGAGTCCTGCTAGAGTCCCCTCCCTACTCCTTTGCACTCCTGGGCTGAGTGCCACCAGGCAAGGCGTTCACTATTTTGCTTGGTGAAATCCACATTTCAAATTTCTTCTGAGTTCTGATGAGTAACAAGGTCTGAAAACAAGAAGACACTTCTGGGTATTGCCGCCTCCGCCCCTTCAGTGTTTATTGAGCATCTCCAAGGTGGGGCTGGGTGTTCAGTGCCAAGGATGCAAAAAGGCATCAGAGACAAAAGAGGAATCTGCTAAAGGCTGACGGGTGGTACAGACTAATGGCTCCCAGAGTTTGTGATTTTATGAACAGCTAAAAATGAGAGCCTTGTTAGTTAGGATCAGGTCCAGTTAATTAGGTAATAGGATAAAAGAGGTCCAATATAACAGTGGCTTTAAACAAGATAGAAAAAAGACGTTTATCCCCACCATGAAAGTCTGGAGGTGGGTACTCCTGGGTTGATTGGGTAGCTCTGCTCAAGAAGCCCTCAGCGACCCAGGGACTCCTTCTGTCTTGTTTCCCTGCTATGCTTGACCTCCATTTCTAAGGTCACGGTCATCTCAAGGTCCCAGGTGGTTTCTCCAGTTCCAGCCATCATATCCATCCAGCAGGAAGGAGGAAAGGATAAAGAAGAGGGGCAAAGAGTGGGTAGCAGATAACTTAGGAAGAAGGTTTCCGGAATAAGACTCATTCTCTTACAAATTATCAGACAGAACCTAGACCCCTGGCCCTTATAATTGTGAGAAACATGAGATATGCAGGTTGTATTTTTGGTAGCCACGGGCCCAGCTAAAAACTGGAGATTCTGTAACTAACAGTCTTTGCCATTGATCCTCACTCAGGGCATCAACTTTTAATTTTGCCGGTAAGTATAAAATGCCCTGCCAATTCCTCTTCCTTAATAGATCACAAATCCATCCTCACTGCCACGGCCCTTCGTAATTTCTCACCTTGCATTAATGCGACAGCCTCTCTCTGTTGCCAGGGTGATCAGTCCAAAATGTAAATTTGATCATATCAGCCCTCTGCTTCAAATGTCTTGGCGGATCCCTATTGCCTTGAAAGAAAATGCAAACTCCTTAACCGAAAGGACCGAAAGTCCTGTTGTCATCTCACCCTGCCGTCTTGTCTTCTCCAGCCCCATCTCTCATGACTTTCCCACGTGTACCCGACAATCCAGGCACGCTAGACTGCAGGCAGTGCCCAGGATGTCCCCTTGCTGCCCCCTCAGTCTGGGATATTTGCTCCTCCAGTCTTGGCAACTGGCCAATCCCAACAGTGCTGTATGAATTTTGCTAAGATTCATCTTCATCAGGAAACCTTCACCAATTTTATGTCTGTCTACGCGTCTGGCATCTCTTTCTCCTTCTCCCTGCTACCTTGTACACAAAGCCAGACCTATTCAAAGAACCGATGCTGTTGCCTGGGTAACAGTGAGTACCAGCCAATGGCTGGATCACCAGCTGGATTCACAGTGGGGCTTCTGGCAGAGGGTTTCGTTGGCTCTGTTGGCCACACCCTCGTTCTTGAAACAGTCTCTCCCTCCTTGGTCCTGCCTCTCCCTGGGCCCTCTCTGCCCCTTTGCTTTGTCTCTTCTTACTCTGCTTACCCTGAAATGTTGCTGTTCCCTAGAGATCAGTTTTTGGTCCTCTCTGGTTATTCCACATACTTGCCCCAAGATTTTTCTTTCCCTTTCATGACTTCACGTGCCACCATAGGCTTCTAAATCTATATTTCCAGATTGGTTTTCTCTTCTGAGCTTTGGATGTGAATGTTCAACTACCTACTGAACACATGGAGGAGGGAGGAGCAATTCCCAAAAAGGAAGTGATGCAGCTTCACCCTCCCACCCTTGACCCCAGCCCCACCCCAAGGTATCACTACCCCCCCGCAGGGCAGGAGTCTGGGAAATGGCGCCCTGTCTTTGCTTGCTCCTCTGCAGGGTGCACACTCCGTCTAGAGACAGCCACTAGCCCAGGGGTTCCCTCGAAAGCACATCCATTGTCAGGGCTTCCTGTCGTCTTCCCTCAGGAGCTCCCTCGGAGAGAAAAACCTTCTCCCCATTTTCACCCAAGGGCAATGTGAGGCCGCAGGGCTCTCAAGACAAGGAGACCCAACAGTGAGGCAGGAGCAACGCCTGACAAAGGCTCCTGCCACAGCGCAGCGGCTGGCCTCAGGCTTTGGCTGAGGTCCTGCCAAGTGAGGGAGAGGTGAGACTAGGCTGAGCTCTCGGAGCCCCTTTCCACGATGTTCCCCAAAGAAGGAAGGGATTACGGGGAGACACACACAGTCTCTCTCCCCACTGCACCTGCAACCTGAGTGCTCCTTTGAATATGGAAGTCAGATAGTTTTTCTGCTTCTCATCTGCTTCTGGCCTCCCGTGACTGGTCAGGATCCTTACCCCGGCGTGCATGGTCCTCCTCCCTCCACCATCTGTTCATTGCTCATTACGCTCTGCCATAGCTCTCTCCCTTCTTTCTGCTCCTTGAACACGCCAAGCTCTTTCTAGATCTAAACCTCCGTATTTGCAATTTCCTCTGCCTGGAAAGCCCCCTGCAGCTCTCTCTACGGCTTGCTCCTCTCGGCCTTAGGTCTCAGCTCAAGTCTCACCTCCTAAGAGCACCCTCCCCTGATGCCCGGGTCAACAGGACTCTCCCACTCCTTCCCCATGGCCACTCCTTGTTGCCTCTCCCCGATTGAGCCCTTGATAAGTTTAACTACAATCTGAAGTCTTGTCGTTTGCTTGTTTACTGTTTATAAGTGTAAAACCTCCTTGAGTAAAAAGGGACCTTGTCTGTCTTGCTCACTTCTGCAGTCGCTGGAAGGATGCCCGGCACGCGTATAGTGGGTGCTCTCCAAATATGTGACGAATATGAACAGAACAGGAAGGAAGGAGAACTGTCACCTGGACTCCATCTGTTGGAGTTGAAGACACTGTTCGCTGTGCTGACTGCTGTCTGTTGAGGCCCTTCAGTGACTTGGGTAGATCGAGTGTGGTGATAAGGTTGGCATGTTCATAACAGATAAGCCATAGACGTGGGTACTCACATCAACTCTGGCAACCCCCTCCCCATCCCACATACACCACAAGCTCCGGATATGAAAAAACTACTCTCTCAGTGGAGCAAGAGGCTCCAAATCTCACCTGCCTGAGTCTGCCTCATTGCAAACCTGATGCCATGATTTGGGGCTCATTTGGGTTATGTGGGAGTGATCTCTAGGGGTGTAAGGCCATTGATAAATGTGCCTGTGTCTTTTTATTTTTTGTGAGGAAGATTGGCGCTGAGCTAACATCTGTTGTCCATCTTCCTCTTTTTGCTTGAGGAAGACTGTTGATGAGCTAACATCTGTGCCAGTCTTCCTCTATTTTACGTGGGATGCCACCACAGCATGGCCTGACAAGCAGTGCTAGCTCTGCACCCAGGATCCAAACCTGCGAACCCTGGGCTGCTGAAGCAGAGCACGTGAACCCGACCGCTATGCCACCAGGCTGGCCCGCCATCTGTGTCTTTTTATGAGGCTGGTGCTCTCACTGGGTATGTGGGTATTGAATGGACATTTCTGAGACAGTGCTCAATAAGCCCAGGTTTGACCACAGTCTTACCTCTGGAAAGGTCATCTTATCTTTTTTTTTCTTGGCAGCATTCTCTCTGTGGTCACAGAAGACCTCCGAGACCATGTGGGAAAGAGGGGCTGGTTGGTTCACTGACACTGAGAGAGATTATCCCCCATCATCAAAAAGACTTTATGGTGCATATTATAAAATTTTAAGACTCTCAGGGAATATTATGATGTTTCCTTTTAGAAAAATATATCTGAAACAGCCTAAATGTCCATCAACAGGGTAATGGATAAACCAAATGTGGTGTGTACATATAGTGGAATATTATCCAGCCTTAAAAAGGAATGAAATTCTGATACATGCTACAACATGGGCAAACTTTGAAGACATTATACTAAGTAAAACAGGACAGACACAAAGGAACAAATATTGTACAATTCCATTGATGTGCGCTACTCAGAATAGTCAAAGTCGTACAGACAGAACGGACAATGGTGGTTCCCAGGAGCTGCGGGCGGTGGGGAATGGTGGTTATTGTTGGATGGGTACAGGTTTCGGCTGGGGATAATGGAAGAGGTCTGGAGATGGGTGGGGGTGCTGATTGCACAACAATGTGAATGTACTTCATGGCACTGGGCTGTATACTTTAAAAGGGTTAAAATGGTAAACTTTATGTTATGTACATTTACTGCAAGAAAAATTGTATATCTGAATCTCTTTTCAAAGGTATCCTCTACTTGTCTGCTCTTGCTCCATCAGGTTTCGGAAATTTTAGTTGAATTGCTTTTTAAATATGTGCTATAAATTTGTTTTCTTCAGAGCGCCAGTTGGTCTGAGAACAATCTCAGGAAAAGGAGTGTGTGGGTATGTATGTGTGTGTGTGCATGTGTTGGAGTGTACGTGTGTGCATGCGTGTGTGTGTGCATGCGTGTGCATGTGTGTGTGTGAGGGGCTCTAGGTTATAACCCTGGGTGTAAAAGAGCACCTGAGGTGGAGAAGACACCCAGTGGCTGGCCTCTCTCTTGGTTTCTTCCGCATGGAGGCTTTGTGGAAAATTGCAAAGGTCCTGTTTCACCAAATGCAAAGTTTAAGGCACAAATGTACCAAACTTTGTACGTTTTAAGTGTAAGACTTCAGGCAAAAGCAGGTGTACGAGCATTTGTCACCCATATGATTGTGGAAGTGACATTCATCCGTTCCAGAAATATTTATGAGCGCATGATGTGTCAGGTGCTGGGGAAAAAATGAATTCAGCATAACCGCTCAAATTCCTATAAGTAGGACTGGCTACATAATGTGTGGGGCCCAGTGCAAAATGAAAATGCAGAGCCTATTAGAAATTATGAAAAATTTCAAGGCGACGACAGCAGAGCGTTAAGCCAAGCACGGGGCCCTTCTGAGCGTGGGAGTGGGGGCTGCGAGAGGCTGTAACTGCAGAGGGCTGGAGCCCATGAAGCCAGGCCGTGGGATGGTGACATGAATGCTCCAATCAGCCACTGGGGGAGCTGGGCCCAGGGCAGCAGTGGCTCCTCATTGCATCTCACTTGAAGTAAATCTCTTTTATCTTTTAACACACATTTGAACACCCATCTATAGCACCGTTCAATAAACATTCTTGTGCTAATATCTTCCTTTTAATCAGATTACCATCTTGTCATTGGATTTTCAGATCTCCAGCTCTACCCCCACCCCTCCGCCAACAGGCAGTAGCATGCTGGATAAATAGCAGGTACTGAATATTTACTCATTGAGGGGCGTCCTGGTGGTGTAGTGGTGAAGTTCATGCACTCAGCTTTGGTGGCCCAGGGTTCACGGGTTTGGATCCCCAGCATGGACCTAGCACTGTTCATCAAGCCACGCTGTGGTGGCATCCCACATAAAATAGAGAAGATTGGCAACAGATGTTAGTTCAGGGCCAATCTTCCTCAAAAAAAAAAGAGAGAGATTCAATACTTGGTTCTAGCGTAAAATATGGGTAGGGTAAGGATGGTTATGGAAACTGATTGACTACTAGGATAAGGATGGTGATGAGAACTATCATTTACGCCTACTGTGTAGGAGGCACTGAGTTAGTACTTAATAGAAACTTCCTAATTTAATTCTCATAAATAAACTTGTAAAATAGGTAGTTTTGTCTCCATTTTAGAGATGAGAAACTGAGGCTCAGAGAGATTAGGGAACTTGCCCATGGTCACACAAGTGGTCAGTGATGGAACAGAGATTCCAGCCTAAGTCCAAAGACCTTGAAATTCCCACTAAGGTGCTGGGCCCTGTTCCCCCCACCCTTCATGCCTCTGTGCTTCCTAAAATGGTGAGGAAACAGAAACTGTGCTAAAAATTGAATCACACAAGTTTTCTATTTTGATACCATTTGGAAGTGAGTATTATAATTTTTTTGAGATATAATTGACATTATGTTAGTCTCAGGTAATCTCCTGATGATTTGGTATTTGTGTATATTGCGAAATGGTCACCACAGTAAGTCTAATTAACATCCATCACCATACATAGTGACACATTTTTTTTCTTGTGATGAGAACTTCTAGGAGCTACTCTCTGAGCAACTTTCAAATACACAACAGAATATTATTAACTGTAGTACCCATGCTGTACGTTATGACAAATAGAAATGGCAAGCAATAGGATATATTGGAGTATATGAGGAAGCCATTTGGTATAAACCTAATTTCGCCTGACTTTGTTGTTTCCAAAAGGGCCTGACTGTGGCTATTGAGCACGCATTGTATATCTGCTTAGACATTTCCTATGGCCAGAACAAAGGCCCTTGAGATAAAGGTGCAACTTCCCCCCACATTGGCATTTCCTTAGGGATAAGCATCTTTCCTTAGGCTAGGAACTGATTGCTGCACTCACCTTTGACCACCCAGCTCACCTCTGACCACCCAGCTCGAGACAACAGACTGCCACCCTGCTGCGTTCACTGAGAAAGAAGCCCTACCTGCTGTTTCCATCAATCGCTGTGCTGACAGAGCAGTCTCGCGACTATTGTGAAAGGGACATTTCAATCCTATGTGAAACATCCTCTCTGGGGGTATATAACCACTCTGTGCACCCCACTTCTTTGGTGCCCTTTCTTCCTTTGGGAAGAAGGGCCCCGGGCCATGGTCCTCAGATTTCAGCTCAGAATAAACTCTCCCAAATTTTCATTTATAGCTTGGTTATGGATTATTTTCGTCGATAGTTACATCCTCAGGACTTATTTATTTTATAACTAGAAGTTTGTATCGTTTGACCCCCTTCACCTGTTTTTGCCCACCCTCCACTCCCCCTCCATCCCCTGCCAGCAACCACCAATCTGTTCTCTGTATCTGTAAATTCCCTTTTTTTTTTTTTTTTTTTAAGATTCCACGTATAAGTGAGATCATACGGTAGGAAATGGGTGTTATAATTTCTGAACATAGAATAGAAAATAGTCTGGAAGATAGTATTTCAGTGCACATGATAAGAAAAGTATCTACTCTGACCTCACATGAATTCAATTACTATTTATTGAGCAGTTACTAAGTGAAGACACGTGCTAGACGCTGTGGGGAATACAAGATGAACAGACAGAGAAACTGCCCTCAAAGAGAAGGCCAAGACACGCACGTGAATGGACAGAGAACAGAACAGAGGGCAGTGTTTCCACATCGACGCCTAGAGAAAGTGTGTCTTCCTGAAAGGATTAGGGTAGGCTTTTGGAAGAAGGTGGCAATTAGAAGTGGCCTTGAATGACGGAAAGGATTCTGATGGGAGGAGCGGCTGGGGGCTGTCCAGGCAGGAGAAGGAGAGGCGGCGTGGTGCGTATCTGGAGAGCCCAAGCAGTCTGACGTCGGAGCAGAGGCTAAGAGCTGGGGAGCTGTGCAGCTGAGAGAGGTGAGTCAGGACTACCCCACGGCGGGACTTGGACCAACACTGGGCACTTGTACTTCATGCAATAAGATGAGTCTCCAACAAGTTTTAACCGGGAGACAAACGTGATTAAAACCGGGCACTAGATTGAAGCTGGCAGCCGTGGGAGGGAGGGCTGGGGGTCGAGAGCTGGGAGGGAAGACCTGAGGCCAATGCGGGTGAGGGACACTGATGGCCCGAACTTGGGGGCCCAAGAGGCTCTTTTAGAGACTCTTTAAAACGTTATCTTCTCATTGAAATAAAACAAAAATATCTGTGAAGCGGAGATCACACACATGTAAAATACCTCTTTGTTCTGTGGAGTTTCTGGAAGCGAGACAAATTCAAGATACCATCACTATTATTCAGCCTAAGGATATTTGCCTACAATTCTTGTTGGCTCCTGCAGAATCTGGCTGTCCTCGACTCCTCGGCAGCAGCCTGGCCTGTCAGGAAAACAGTCATTGCACAACAAGGCGGAACCCACCGGGTTAAACCTCTGCTCTTATGTGGCTTCTTCTGGAACATTCCACCCTGCTTGGGCAGCCGGACAGTTTAAAATGCACAAGTATTTTAAGAGATCGTTTACATCTGATCGTAGAAGATCAGATCAAGTAACCTGTGATCGAGCGTGCTTTAGAAATCTTTGACTCTTCAGGCACCGAAACAAGTCCATCAGGACAACACTAAGCTAGGACCAGTTCTTAAGATCCCGAGGTCCCGGGAGAAGGCACAGTCAGGCCCCTTTCCTGGGCTTCTCACAGTGCTCCTTGGAACTGGAAGTATGTCATTAGTGGAGGTGGCACAGTGACGATGCACAGGGCTTTGGGGACCAAAGAGGAGAAAAGGCAGAGAAAAATATGACCCA